ACACATTTTGACTTCCCACAGCAGTGAAAAACCCCATTTACTCTATGTCCTGCATTCACATTTCACACATCGTTTTATTACTATCCTTGCCATGTCTACCATCCTTGCTAAACACACCAGACTTTTAACTTACTTAACCGACCCCTTCCATTCGTATTTCACTTATCGTTTTACGTTTATACATGGTAGCCACACGGCAGCTATATTATAGTTGAAGAACAAATGAGTCGGCTCAACCGAGGACGGACCACGTTTTCAATAAATAGAATACCAGCGTAAAGTAGCAGCTTAATACTGCAGTTTTCCGTATGGTGAGTGTGTAAAGAACCGGAGACCCTTGTTGCAGGATACGAGACATTCCTTTTAGTCAGAGGTGACAACGCATCTGCATTTTGATTGTTAATCGAGGATAGATGTAGATGTCTGTGGACCAGCATCCACTTACTATCAGGTGGACTATGTGTTCGTTTGTCATCCTTATTCTTTAAAAAAAAACTTTATTTTCGTCCAAAAAACATCACGTTCGTCTTGCTTGTGTTGGTATTGGCTATGGGTTTGGTAATGGCTATGGGTAGGTATTCGTATTGGCGGACTTACGTCTTAGAAATAAGTTTTTTATTCGTCGGACATGCAGGTTTCCTTACGATGTTTTCCATCGCCACCGTGCACGTGGTTAATCAGCACTTAAAATTGCATTTAACAATTTCATTTGGTTGCTCGTACTGTGAAATTTATACTGGGCACTTAGCCCCTGAGCTGATGCGGCTTTAAAGTGAATAATAGCCGTGTACCTAATGGCTCTTCGAGCTACTCGTATATGGCTGACCCATTGCCACATTAGCTTACTAATCCTTTGGGCTATGTCGGTTACTCTGGTTCGACTACGGATATCCTCATTTCTGAGTTTATCACGCAGAGAAACCCCGAGCATAGCCCTTTCCATAGCTCGCTGAGCGACCTTGAGCGTCCTCATACGGCCATCGATGGGGAAAAAAGATTCTCGAGTGGCAGCCTCGTACCGGTAGGCGTAGTGTAGGGCAACCCCCCACTAGATGGAATGACGACCTGATAAGAAAGAAAAACAGTAAGGAATGTGTAGGGCAGCTCCTTACTAGATGGAGTGATGGCCTGGTAGGACTTACAGTAAGTCGATGGATGCAGGTGGCTCAGCACCGTGCTTTGTGGCATTACTTGGGGGAGGCCTATGTTCAGCAGTGGACTTGTGAAAGGCTGTAATGATGATGATGATGATGACCTAATGGCGTCGTGAGAAAACCCCTGCCCCATACATCTCGTGGGTGGTCCTAAGAGGCAACGGAGGGTAACTTAAACAGGAGGTGGGATCTTAACGGAGGAAAACTGCGGCTACCAACCCGTCGCCCAATCGTGAAAGCTATAGCAAATACTCGTATCTCCCATAATAAGCAATGTATGAAGGAGGTCTATGTTCAACCTAGGACTGATCCTATTAAAAAGGCCTCTACATAACTATTACCTTTACCTATTCATAGAAAAAAGTACAAACGAGCATGCGGCTCACGTAACAGTATTTCAAAAACGACTCTTCTAAAAATACGACTGTCGTCCATAAAAAAGGATCTCCTAGTTGTGCGTTGTTTGTGTCTAGCAGTGGTCACATACAACCGCCGGTACGACATACTCCGCCGATCATCGAGTCCGCATACTCCGAGGCGTCGAGGTCACCGGCCCCCATGCAGAACCTTAGGCACTTTAATGCGCTCGTGCTTTTAGTGCCCAGTCGCGAATTAGAGTGCCACCCAACGCGCTTCCCCCAACCCTTTAGTTATTAAAGGGGCAGGAAGTGCCCCAAGCGTCGCAGCCTACCGCCTGGCTCGTTTGGTAACCTCCCCCCCCCTCATCGTACACGCAAACTACCGGATATTAAAGGAGTTTTGGAACGGCCACTCCTTGTTGGGGACCGACGCTCCTACCGCTGCAGGCTATGAAAACGGCGAGACGTCATGGCTCGGAGACCGAGGCCTCCCTCCATGAAGAGAGTCAGCGCGTCGGCACCCATGATTCATCAGCATCCGTATCACCATCACCATCATCATCATCAGAGGATGAGGAGCCCCAACCGGTGGCATGGAAGAGATTCTCTTCCGAAGTCGCCATCTCCACCGCAGCCCCCCCCCCAGCCCATCTCACCGGACCGACGTAGCCATGACTCGGCCCAGTTCAAGCAAGGAGGTGAAGTGTCCTACAGCTGTGGGTCCACAACCTACGCGACCCTAGCTGCATCCGCCGGCCGATCATCGCCAGTGCAGAATACCAACCCGTCCGGGCTACCGCAAGATGACGGTCAACGGCCCACATGGCAGGAGCACCTGCAATGCCACGACCCAAGACGGCGGAAGAGCCCAAACAACCAGTTAAAGACATGGCAAAATATCCGCCCATTGTCGCAGAATGCCTCCCGTACTGGACGAGGCATTTCGAGGAGCTTAACAGAAAATTAGGCCTTTCGGGAAAGGAGTAAGTTTCGCTTCACAAAGCCCCGAAGAGTTCCGCACCATCCAGCGTTATATGGTCGAACTCTCGGAGAAGCTACTATCGATGTCGTGGTATTGCTACACACCGGAGGAGGTGAAGCCTAGCTTACCACCAGAGATATTTCCGGACCGATTCGACTTAGGGACGTTCAAAAAAAGAGCCTACTCCTTTTTAAAAGGCCGACAACGCATCTGCAATTCCCCTGGTGTTGCAATTGCAAAGGCAAAGGAAAGCGGGACCAGCACAATGCCACCGCTGCCAGGCTTTCGGACACGCCTCGCCAACTGCTTCAGGCCAGTGAAGTGCGTTCGCTGTGTCGGGGAGCACATCGCCAGCCATTGCCCTAGGGATGGGGAGTAGGGATGAGGAACCGAAGTGCGCCAACTGCGCCAGGAACCATTCGGCAAACGATCGCCGCTGCCCAGAACAACAACGCCAGGAAAATTGCAGGTGCATTGCCATCCTAAAAGGCCTTAATGAGGATTAAACTCGTTTATTATACCTCACCATTGTCGCCAAATTATATAAATGATTTTTCAAATTGGTAATAAAGTGAAAACTAAGAACTAGGACCGCGGAATATAGGCGGGACGCATATGCATTTTAATTCTTAATCCAGCATAGATGTTTGACGGCTCCGTGGCGCAGTGGCTTAGCAATGAGAGGCTGCGCTAGGGGCCGCGGGATCGAATCCCGCACGGAACAAATATTTGTATTGGCCTACAAATAATTGTTCCGGTTCTGGATATTTGTCCTTATGCAATTTGTATTTGTAAACCACCTTCTCGATACAGGAGAAAATCCTAGTGTGGGGGTAACGATGTCTATGGGCCTTAGCATTCACTTACCATCAGGTAAATTGTGTTCTCGTTTATGACCCTGATTTTATTCTGTAAAAAAACTGAAACTCATCAAATGGCAGCTCCTACAAGACCAAACCGACGCTAAGTTGCATTGTCATGATGAAAAAGTAATCTGGCGCTTAACTTTCCTTGTGGCCTCTTTTTGTGTGGTTTTCGATCAAATATGTGGTAACAGTCTTCGGTTTGTTTCTACATCCCAGACAGAGGCCTGAAAGACCACAAGCTATTAAAAGGCGACTTTGATGCGCCCTGAAAAGCCGCGAGCACCGAGTTCAAAGAAGCAGTAAAAGCCAACTCACAAACAGCACTAACATCCTAGACAATAAATGCCTCAGATTCGGGCTGTAGCTATAGCTAACATAGATGAATCGTCGCTCGTGGTTTAGGGCGGGGGTTAATCTACTCCTAACTCTTACATTTCTGCTCTCCTGTCCGGTGGTCAGTTTAGCAAATGGCTCTGGGAGAGCACAGATCGTGTTGATTCCCAGGGCAAGTCTGAGGAGTACTTCCTTCACGTGGTTGCCGCCTGTGATTTGGTCTGGTTGAATAGGAAACAGACAGAACAGAAACACTAAGACGATCCTCTTTTTTTTCTCTTTTTATCTCACTCCCTTTTTCTTATCATAACCCAATCCAAGGTGTTAAGCGTACTGTGCCATTCGCAAAAGGTGCCTACCTGAGACCGGGCCGATTCGGGTAGTATTTTAGCCCTTCCCTCGGCATGCGGGGCTCTGCCGTGGTGACCGAATAGTTCTCTAGCTAGATCAAAATGTACAAAAATCGACATACCTTTTATGGCAACTGGAGCGATGCGATCATCGCCTGCAGCGGCTCTTAATGCACTTCTGTTCCTAACGCCCCTTAATATTTATCTAGACAAGGAGACGAGGCTAAGTTTGTATAAGATTAACGACCACGGCGGTTTCAGGCTTGGCTTGGCTTTCCTATAGATTGAGATCCACGCTCGACTCAATTAAAGAAACACCGGTCTTATGCATGTTAAGCTGCTATTTTACGCTGGTATTATGTGACAGCGTGGTCCTACTCCGGTCGAACCGACCCATCCGTGCTACAACTATAATATAGTTGCAACGTGGTTCTACCACGTAAATAAATATATTATACCAGACTTCAGAAAATATTTTAATTCCTTAGACATGCAGGTTTTCTCACTATGTTTTCCTTCACCGCCGCACATAGTTAACTAGGACTAAGTGTTCTGTGGTGGTAAATCATTAACTAAAATTGCTGCAATTTATAATTACATACAGTCATTGATAATAGAACTTGTGTTGTTGGCATACTAACTATAAAATTTACAGCGAGTGTTAAGCTTCTGACCACACTAATTACCTAGTTAAATTTAACGAAATTTTAGAGTTATTTATATTAAACATCGCTCAACAAGTAAGTGAACACTGCATACTTTTTGTTCAACACGACATAATATATCGAACGAAAAGCAAGTGGTGTTTACCATTTTTTAATGTGCAATTGGTTTATATTACATTTGTTGAACCAAATAAATAACAAAGACCATAAATAAAACTAACAATTTAATCAAAATAGTTAATACAAGCTTGAAACTATATGAATCAAAAAACTTATATGAATTTTATTTAACTAAACTAAGCCCTCACGCCTCTTCCATTCTTCTTTCAATTTAGCCATTTTCTTTTTCTTGTATTCAAGTTTTTTTATTTTGTTTTCTTTTTGCCGTTTCTTTTGAGCAGTTACACTATCGTCGCCATTTAATACTTCATCTAATTTAGCAACCAACATTTCTCTAGCTAACTTTCTGTTCTCATCTTGACATCTACTTATGTGACATTTAATAACTGTACCTAAAAAATGTTATATTTTAGAAGTTGGCGGTATAAAAAATCACTCTTATTTAGTCCATTGGGTCACTGAGAAATTTACCAGGACACCCTGCAATCTCCGACAGCCAGCAAAATAACAATCTTATAATATGACTAGCCTAAAATGACTAAACTAGGTACATCAGGTACAGTGATGATAATACATTAAAAACAAAACAACTAGCATGATAACAAATTATTTGAGTATTATGTCAACATGAAAGCTCTATTTAGATGCTTCTTTTGCACATTCAGACTGCTGAACATTAGTATTGGAGTTGTACATCTTATACTATTATTTATTCCGTGGTTATACTGTGGTCGCCTCCACTGCGTTAAGCGAGATATCGCGCCGGAATCCCGTCGCGGGTACATTCAACGGGTTTCATCGGCGTCCCGGATATTGCAGCGTCACTAATACTACTTGACTGTGCACTTAAACAGTCATGCCGAAATAATGGGTTAACTACATACATACATAAACACTCACGCCTGTCAACCAGAAGGGTAGGCAGAGACTACGGACTTCCATTTGGCACGATCCTGACATACCTCTTTCGCCTCCTTTACATCCATATATCTACGCATACATGCTCGTCGGTTAAGGGTGCTTCCTAACGTGGCCCATTTTCAAAATATCGCCAATTTGGTCGATAAACTTTTTTCTAGGGCGTCCCTTCCCGACTCTGCCGTTCACATCTGCCATATAAATTTGCTTTGTCACTCTTTCCTCATTCATTCTTTCTACATGACCAAACCACCGAAGCATTCCTTTCTTAATCCTGGTCACAACATCATCTTGCATACCACATTTATCTCTTATCACGCAATTTCTCACCCTGTCATTCAGATTTAACCCTAGCATACTCCTTAAAGACTGCATTTCTAAAGCATTTATTCTACTTTCGTGCTTCTTCTGCCACACCCAGCTTTCACTACCATACATTAAAGTAGGGACTAACACAGCATTATGAATTACCATACGTGCCTTTTTTGACACATTCTGGTTCTTCATAATAGAGTGTAATGCCCCATTCACTCTATTCCCTGCATTTACTCTCGTTCTATATCCTTATCATATCTACCATCCTGCTAAATACACATCCCAAATACACAAACTCATCCACTTGCTCAATTAACTCTCCTTCTATTCTTATTTTACATACCGGTTTGCTTTCTTCTCTTTCAAAAACCATCACTTTCGTCTTACTTGCGTTCACTTTCATTCCCCTTTCTTTTGGGTTAACTATCAAATTATTATTGACAAACATCTCCATTGTTATTTGCAATATCTCGTATAAGGGTATTGTACCATTTTTCAAAGTATTGAAGCAATAGCTTAAAATAACAAAACTTTAAATTTTTTGTTATCAACTTTTTAATATTATTTTTCAAACATACTTTATTAGTAATAATAAAGCCAACACCAGCTTTCTTTCACTACGACCACGAACATTGATATAAAATGCATAATAAGCAGCTCATAATTTGGATTTATCAAATGAAATCTATAAAGACCGAGAATCTCATCAATAATAAGTCACTATGAACTAATATTTCCCACTTAACGCAACAGACCCCTTTCCACTAACCCAAAAACTGATTAAGTCTTTAAAATGCAACAACCTAGAGTAAAAAGTCATCACTGACAATAGCATATGGATCTGAAACATGATCCTTCACTGCTGTCTATATTAGGAACTATGGAAAAGTTATGCTCAGTTTCTCCGCATGATAGAATTCCAAATGAGTATATCCACAGTAGAAGCAGAGTAACTGACACAGCTAATGTATCAGTGAGGTGAAATGACAATGGCCTAGCCATATAGCTTGAATAACCAACACTGATTGAGAAGAAAGAAAAACAGGAAGCAGTGTAGGGCAGCTCCTTACTAGACAGAGTGATGGCCTGACAAGTCTTACAGGAAGTTAATGAATGAAGGTAGCTCAGGACCGTATTTTGTGGCATTACTTAGGGGAAGCCTATGTTCAGCAGTGGGCTTGTGAAGAGCTACAATGATGATGAATTGATGAATGAATACATGATGATGAATACAAGAATATGTATTTTTTTTTCAGTTTTTATAGTACCTGTTGGATTGTGTGTTAGAACAACACAATTAGCATTTTTATTTACAGCAGAGCCTCCTGGGCCTCCTCCTCTGACAAATTGCTCTGTCAAATCTGATTCATTAATTTTGGGCAACCGAGAATAATCAATTGTATGCTTTAACTTTACCGAATTATATAGTATATCAACAGTGCAAAGTTTGTAGAGGTCAGCAACATGTCTTAAAGTAAACATGTTACACTACAGAGCCTCTCCTGAGCAATGCTTCACCTTTCTGAAAATAAAAATAAATTCGGATTACACAATATATTTTTTGTAACAAAACAAAATTATAACTATTTATTCCAAATTACATTACACACAACACATTATTTTTTCTTTGAAGTAGTTATCAGTAGTACACCCCATTACTTAATCCAATCAGTACTTAAGTTGATCAAACAACTCAATGGGATTTTTACACATTTGTTGGAACAAATTCATATCATACAAGTTTAATGTAACTGTCCAGTTTTCAGACAATAGAAATGACCTATACATAGTACACAGGACAGCAAAAGGGTTAAGAAAGTTTGTGCAAAGTGGATATTATATTTTTTCCCAGAAAGGTGGGTCTCATCTATCAAAAAAGAAATAATACAAATGAAGAACCAAAACTAACAAAGATTAGAATCTTATTATGGAAACTGAAAATTTATATTGACAAAAAAAATTAATATTATTTTATTAAGTTTACTATAATCTGTCAACTGAAATAAATAAATAGTTTATAAAGAAATAAATACATTTTGGCAATGGGTATTAAAGGTAAGATTAACAATTAATTTAAGTTTTGTTTCCATTTGAATTTGATATTGTTACAAATTTGATTATCATGTTTGAAACCAATATAATAAATTTTAAATGTTTTCATGGTGATTGTAGATACTTAAACACTGCCTTGTTGGTATAGTGGTGTTGTCTGCTGACTATATGGTCCCGGGTTAGAATCCTGGGTCAGGCCAAAAATGCAGCTTTGGGTTTTGTCAAAAAATTCTCAGTAGCAGCCTGGAGTCATGAAGTTAGTGGTGTTTCACACCCATCCCATAGAAAGGACATATAGCCAAAAGCATACAACCTATTACGCAAGATTATCCCATGGCAAACTCAGTTGAGACTGGCCTCCATAAACATGTACATACAATTAGTTTTATTCCATGTGTAATAATAATAATCATTATTATTATTCATATAAATATAAGAAATCATTATATTATTTAAAAAATATTTATGTTTAATTAATTATATATTTTAGTTAAAACAATAGGAAGACATCCTATTTACCTTTACCTATTAGATTGTTATGACAAACACATAGAAGCAAGGAAATGTAGGGAAAGCATATGTGGCAGAACCACGCTTTGATCAAGGAATTACTGTAATGCTCACACAGAATACCTGAATGAAATAGCAAGTAGCATCATATGATACCTCAACATTTAGTATGGTGAAGAAATAGAACCAGAGACCTTTTTTACTGATGTAAGTAGAAGTTAGACAGCTCCTCATATCATCTCAACTCAGTTTTCGTTTCTTGTCATTGATTATTATCAAGAGCTTGGGAATTAAAGATGAGGTTAGGATATAACATATATACATATATCTATCTGGTGACCTGGACGATATATACCGCTCATTGCTGTACAATATATTTCATGCATGGCAACTCATTAACAGTAAAACTATTGGCACACAAGATTGTAGCATTATACTGCTATGCGAGTGCTTTTCTTCCGTGGTCAAGCTGCCCTATTCATGTATTGATTTACGGCAAGCTCTATCTATCTAGAACCATATAACATACGTCCTCAGTACAATTGGAGTGATTCAGTCAGGCCCACTCAGTTTGTGGATGTCTAGGGCGAGGAGTGCTTTGTGTACTGTTTTTTTTTTTTTTAAATGTTACCCCTACACTAGGATTATCTCCTGTATCGTGGGCGCAGTTTACAAACATAAATTGCACAAGGACAAACATCTAGACCCGGAACAGTTATTTGTAGGCCATACAAATACTTGTTCAGTGCGGGATTCGAGCCCGCGACCCCCAGCGCAGCCACTCATTACTAAGCCGCTGCACCACGGAGTCGTCAAAATATAACTTCACACATTTCACATCAAAAATGAAAACTAAACAACTATACCTGAAATGCAAAAGTAATATCTTCAGGTTTACATAGCGTTTTGTTTCGTCGAAATTCGGAGGCAATTCTATTTCTGAAATATTTATTATCAGTCAAAGTAAGCGACCTTGAATATAGCATTAATTTCTTATACAAAACAAGCACTTCTGAACGAGTAACTAGCATAGTACTGATATTTCCTGATATTCGAAGAGTATTTCCTATTTACTATGTATAGTTCATAAAAGATAGCTTGATCTCTGCGACAGCTGTCAGTAAAAATGTCGGCATGCCCATAAAGTATGACATTGACAGGTACTGTCTGTACTACTAAAGGTGCGCTTACACGAGGGCAATAATTAAACGAATGGACCGATCTGGAGCAATTTCAAAGCAATGGAGCAAATTGCGGCAATTATTTCGGCGATATTGCTTCTGATTGCTCCAGATATTTCATATCGCTCAATGTCGCAGATACGAATTGACGAATATCCAATGGGTTTGGAAATTCCCAGTAATTTTTGTATATATCTCATTCGCACTTGTTTGTTTTGCGGCTTGCCGTCTGGCTTCCTCGGGGAGAGCTAGAGGTCGGGTGGAAGTAGGATAGCGCGCGGCTAGGCGTCGTCAGCCCAGCGCGTCCCTCTGTTTGTTGTGACTAGACGTGGGCGTTATTTCACGTCACTAGATACAGTAACTGGCTACGCGGCATGTAACCGAATCACTAGTTTCGAGTCATGTTACAAGTAGTGATTTTTGTAAATGCGTGATTATGATTACTGTCGGGAGTCGACTGTCGGTCGGTCAAGCGCAAAGCGCACATGTGGCATACAACAATAAACAAAACATCGTAAGTAACAGTATTATTGTACGTTTAAATTTCATACGTAAGACTATAGACTTAGACAATAAAATAGAGTAATCTCTGTTTGTAAATAATTTCAACGGTTTGCGATTCCGGGAAGCGAGTCACATAGAAATTAACTAAAATAATTTTTAAAACATTTTTGACGGAGTCATGAATTCGTTTATTCATAAAATTAAAATAAAACTAAAAAATGTGTATAAAAATTTAAAAATTTAAATGTTTATAATATTATAAAACTTAAAAACTGTGTGTAAATAGCCAAACAAACAAACAAATTAATTGTACAGTGCAAATAAAGGTACGAAAACAAATGATAGTGAAAACGTTGAAAAAGTGTAAATAAACTGTAAATATCAATAATCATTGTATATACAATCAAATTGACTTGTAAATATGCCTTTTTTTACTGCATTAATAATTTTATGAAAATCTTAGTGTCATAGTAAACGCAAATCAATCATAAATACATTTAATGCAGTCAGACCTAAACCTGAATAAAGTATTAAGGGAAGTTAATTTATTCCTTTCAGTTAAATGTAGCTACAAACACAGAGAGTGATTAAATTTATTTTCGTTTCGTGTGTAACTGTATAGTTAGTTATTATATGGTGGTGATATTTATGCAAACAATCACAGTAGCCGAATAAAAATAGCCAGTTACAAAAATCGCTAGTTTTAAAACAGGTGACGCGGACCAAGTCACTGGTTTCGTTACGTTTCTTGAAAATGACGTTACGACCCACGTCTAGATCAAGCTATCTTTTATGAACCATAGGTAGCTCGGCTCATTTATACTTTGGGTACGTTTGGCAAAAAAAAGCGCTAGCAAGCGCTTGTAAGCAAACTTTTGCTAACTTCAGTAGCGCTGATATAATCCGCATTTTGCTTATTTAAATTGTTTGTTTTGAAGTAGAGTTTATATGTTGTTTTGTGCAATATTAGTTTTAAGTAATATAATGACATGAATAAACATATACTTGTTATTAAAAATTCATGATTGGTAAGTTTTTAATATGAATACTTTACAAACATATATTTAAATTAGGTTAGGTTCCCCGGTTAAAACTAACTTCGTCTTACGATTTGACAGCGCTTACCGCTACGATCACCATATATATATATATATATATATATATATATATATAAAAAAAAAAAAAAAAAAAAAAAAAAAAAAAAAAAAAATATACCAATCTTTGCCTTTATTAAATTATATAACTGAGGTTTCAGTAGGGTTTCTTCGTACTGTATGGGCATGCAACTTAGAACATTATTTTGAGAACAAATTGATATCTTTTTGTGCTGCCATCTTTAGTGTGGCCACGTAAACTAGACTTACTTTTATCGAACTAGAGGGCACACTTATGTATTAAGTCTATGCAAAGGAAACAATCCATGTGCTACGCACATACGCAATAATGGCGGTCACTACTCACTAACAGCCCAACAATTAATAAACACAGACTTGAGCAAGATTAATAATAGTAAAACTTATATAGACATCAATTTAATATTCCGATTTCTCGTGCGCTTATATACTGTGCTATTCATTTGACACGAATTTTGTCAATGCAAAGCAATGTGTTTTTAAATGTGACAAATTTGGTAAGTACTTTTGTAATATTTGCATAATTTCCAATTTTTATTCACTTGTAAACAGCTAATATGTAAGAAATTGAAAGTTCAAGGCATGGGCTGTAATCATCAAAAGTCCACTGCTAAGCATAGACCACGGATTGCCTCGTATTGCCCATCTTTTGTTTCAGTTTCACTCTCTCGCCTCGAAATTAATGATTATATTTTATCATTTCAGATATTTTACACTACTTTCCTAGACCGGAACACCCTTCACTAGAAAGGTTTCAGCAATGTTAAAGATAGTATAAGTCAAGAGGATAGCTAGAACATATTTAAAAGATAAAACCGATTGTTAAATTTACAATAACTATCGCATTTGTGATCGGCTCTTTGAGGATCGTTTTTTATATCCTCGAACCAGAAGACTTCCCAGACCCCAGTCTTAACCTTGGTAAGTCTTTATTAAAAGCTTTCTCACTGTCATGTTTAATAGCAATTCTTTTAGCAGTAAGCCCTAGATTATAAAGCACACTGACTTAGCAATAAAAGCTTATTCACTTTTACCTTAAAGATAAATAATATTTTGAACTTTTAGGGTTCCATAGTTACACAACAAGGAATCCTTATAGTTTCACCATGTTCATCCGTCTGCGGTTTCACTAGATTCTAGGTCCTACAAATCTGTAATTTGGCATAATTATAGACATTAATCACGCCTACATTATTATGTATTAAAATCTTAAAAACATTTTTATTATGGGTACCTTCTATACAGGTAAATGAATGATGATTTTTTTTAACTGTGTATTCCATTGTGTATGGTATCGTTGGATAGGTCTTTCAAAAATATTGCGGGTATGGAAGAACATCTTTACGATTCAGTGGTTTGTTTGTAAATATTAAGCTTTAGTCGTATTTTTCATTAGAGTCATGTCATGTGTCCCCTCTACCAACTCTTTTTTGGAAATGTGGAAAGTATACTCAATAATAGCATATATAATGTAATTAAAAGGAGAATTAACAAGTTGGATTAGTAAAAATTTTGTTACAACTCCATAGAAAATGACATAAAACAACATTATAATGATTTCTTATATTTACGCGAACACTACACATTGAAATAATACTAGTTTTTACGGATTTTATCGCGTATATTTAACAATAAATACCCGACGTTTCGAGCATTTCACAGCACCCATGGTCACGAGGAGGACTGAGATGTTCAACGTTCAAATGTCATAGTTAACAGTGGTTACCATAGATAAAAATAAAAATTTTACTTTTGTTCCGATCTACACAGTATGAACTTATGGTATCTTGAAGTCTTGCAGTTGTATGCTTGGGTTGGGATTTAATTTTATTTATTATAGGATCCCAAGCAGATGGTAGCACCCAGCCATCTTCTCTATTGAAATTAGGATGTTTTTTGATTTCAATAGACTCGCGAATCATCCTTGGGAAAGAATCGGTGTTCTTTAGCGAGTATTTGTGGTCTATCAAATCTGATGTAGTGACAGGGGCGATCCTGTACGTGTTCACAGACTGCAGACTTCCCGGAGCGTCGATTCTTCACATCAGCTATATGTTCTTTAACGCGGGTTTCAATTGATCTTTTAGTTTGTCCTATGTAGGAGAGACCACACTCACAATCAAGCTTGTACACTCCTGCATCTTGCAGAGGGACGTTACACTTGACTGATGGTAAAAACTGACCAATCTTTTTCGGCGGCTTGAAGTATGTTTTGATGGCAGCACGCTTCAAGTTGTAGCCAATCTTGTCAGTGACTCCTCTAACATATGGCAGTACAGCAGGTACACGCTCGACTGTGGCCGGCTTCACTCGTTCACTGTGACGTAGGCGCGGGACCCGAAGCTTGTTGTCATGCAAAACTTGCTTGACATGGTGGAGCTCGGCAGCCAGGTGTTTACTGTCACAGATCCCTCGTGCTCTCTGAAACAAAGATTTACCCACGGTAGCTAACTGGCTATTGTGAACTGTAAGAAATAAACATTTTATGAAGAAATCTTACTTACTTACTACTTTCAATTAATGATGAAAGAATGTACATATTAACACAATTTTTTCCAAATTTAAAAAGGTTAATAAAAAATTGATTTTAAGACAATTTGGTTATTGATACCTTTTTTTATGGATACATCAGAAGATACACCTGATATAAAAAATAGCAGGTGATTATGGACATAAGATATTAATGCAATTATGAAAAACTTCATTCACGTGTTCCTATAACATATTATATGTATGCCAAATATCAATCATCTATGTTCAATAGTCTTTGAGAATTCAAAACCAAATCTTTGACAACAGAAATAAAGAAAGAAAAAAAAAAAAGACATAAAGAAAGACACACAGCGAGGTAACTCTAATAGTGATGGAATTTTGCTAAATTTAGAATGAAACAACATTTTTCAATGTTGCTTAATTAAACCCCACGCGAACGAAGCTGCGGGTAAAAAGCTAGTAATTACAATATATGGTATGTTGCAGTGAATAAAACAACCCCAAGAGAGTTTTATGTGTTACTCATATACTTTCACTACTATTACAGGTTTACATGCTGAAACATTAGGAATTGAACCCACATCAAATATACCGGATGTACTTTTTTCACAAATTTCTACTACAAGTTCACACGATAATCATATAAGAGGTATTTAATTTATTTTTTTAAAAGAA